AGTAGTTGTAGTTAACTACATTTGCAAAGTAGTTTGCAGTTACTACATTTAAAAAAAAGTAGTTGTAGCTAACTACATTTGCAAACAGGTTTGCAGTTACTACATTTAAAAAAAAAAGTAGTTGCAGTTAACTACATTTGCAAAGTAGTTTGCAGTTACTACATTTAAAAAAAATTAGTTGCAGTTAACTACATTTGCAAAGTAGTTTGCAGTTACTACATTTAAAAAAAATTAGTTGTAGTTAACTACATTCGTAACAAAGCAGTTGTAATTGTCGTAAACTACAAAGAAAATGAAGTTTTCCCGACTATTTGATTCGTCTACAAAAAATATTCGCTTAATAGTATGTTATTCTGCAAAGCAAATAAAAATTTGTCGGATATCGCAATCACTTAATTTTAAATACTTTTCACGAAGTAGATTTCAGATTTTTATACGTGCATCAGAGTTTAAAGCCAATTATTATATAGAGTTCAAGGCTCGTTCAATTTTTAACAATTCTTTTTTTAAATTTTAAAATGATATTTTTGTTATTAATTAAAAATTACTCAAAAATTTTTTATTTAATTTTATCGAATATTTCTGTAGTTATAGTAGTAAAGTGATAGGCAAAAAATTAGTTTTTTTTTTCAAAACCACTCTTTTTGTTCGTAATTTATCGTACGTATTCCTTCAAACGTCTAAAAGATTTAAACTTCATTGATATGTGTGACAAATCGCATAACCTAAACGCTTCTAAAGTTATAAAATGATTCTCGAAGTATTTCGTGAAAGAAAATTTGGAAAAATGAATAGTATAGAAGTATTTCCATAATTTTGTTCTACTCTTGTACAGATCAGCAAGTTGTCCCAGGTGCCCAGTTGAAAGAACTGGTTATATTTACCAGTATTTGAAGCTTTCGCGGTATACTTTTTCCTGTGGTATTAAACTGGTAGCATATTCATACTTATTATTCATACGCAATTACTAACAAGATTCTTTCTAATTCTAATTTATTATTAAATTAATTCATTACATTTGCTACCAGTATATTTATTTTTTCGAGAATATAAAATATTTGTTTAGTTGTTTACGCTGTGATATTAAGTTTACATACTCTATTAATTGTTTAAGCCTGTCTGTTATGAAGGATTTTTTTAAATAAAATTCTACGATATGATTCTCAGGAAAAATGATGACACTTAACCCTTTAACGGGCCCTTTATTTCTAGTAAAGGTAAATTAAAGTATTTTTGGAATTAAAATTGTTTTAAGAACGGTAATTGATATAAAAAAAAACTCGTTTAGTTAACCATTATAAAAATGCCATTTTTTTGGTGGTAAATGTATTTAACATGACCTATTAGGAACTTACTGACCTTTATTTTTCTTTATTTATTATATAAATTCTTTAAATGCTACAAACTTCAAAAGGAATTATGTATTTTATAACTTTTATACGTTTTTTAAAAGTGACAAATGGTTACCAATTTTATTCAAACTCACTTCAAGAAAGCTGAAGTTATTGAAAAATGGAAACCTAAATTAAAAGTGATAAAACGTGGTGGTAAGTATACTTACCACGGCCTTCAAAAGGGTTAACGCTTAAGTTACGTCTATTTATCAGACAAATTTTATCTGATAAAACAGTATTTATTTTATAAATTATTATAAAATCTCACCAGTGGAATCTTCTCCTGTAGCTCGGCTAGCATAGTTTTGTAATATATTGCCGTATAATTCCGACGCTCTTCACTGGGTATAGTGAACTAAAAGAACATAAAATGCATTCATGAAACAGGAAGTTATAAAATTTTACAGTATGAAAAACCATTTTGTAAGAAGTGTACGTAGTTATAAATTTTAGAAAAAATCCCGATGCTCTTCATTTATGATAGTGAACTAAAAGAACATAAATTGTTATATCGTAGAAAGTTGAAATAGTTACATTATTATAGCGTTTTTGTATATAAAAAAAATAAAATTAAGTTTCCCCAACTTTCTTAGTCCCATTCTGGAAACTTTCAAATGACTGCTATATAATTCGATGAATTTGCTATATCTATTACAGGGTGCGTAACCAGATTTTTCAAATAATAATAAGCACCTTTTAAGTACTTTTTAAACACTCAAAAAATATTTTTAATCACTTTCCAAAAAAATAAATCATAATTAGGATCTGTGCATTAATAATTTTATTCCTATAGTTTAAAGCTCTAAATTTATGAACATAAATTCATTAAAATTGAAAAACAATTTCACAAACTTCACATAATCATGATAAAATAACTAGTTTCTGATAAATATAGCAGAGAAAATTGGGAAAATCAGGCATTTTTTGAAATTTAGAACGACAATCAACACTTCAAAGAAAAAATCTCTTTTTAAAAGATAGAAAATTAAGCAGCAACCCCCGAATTTACAAACCCCAAATAAAAAAAGCACCTTTAAGAGCTTCTAAAATATGTAAATCAAAAATAAGCACCTTTAAGCACTTCTTAAAAACGCTACGTTCCCTGTATTACGTTTTAATTGTAATATAATTTCAAGGATGTAATACGTTTTCTATAATATTTTTTAATAATCAATAAAAAATTAAATAGTTAGTGGTTGAATTAAAATTTGGTTAAACAGGAACTATTATTTTTTTCCCTATTTTTTAAAATTTCTCATTATAATATTTCTTATTATCATGATCGCAACGATTTGGAAAATTTTGATAAGTGGTAGAAAAATTTAATGAAATTAAAGCAGTTTCACGCATTTTTAATTTCTAGAAATTATAGGGTAATTAAAAAAATACATCTCTCAACATAAAAATTTACAAATTATTTCTTAAAATTAAAGCGTAAATAAGAAATTGAGCAGCATCTGAAACATTTGTCACTACTTTTTAATTTTCCTCAGATCGTATCGGAAACGATACTTGCACCTGAAAGTGTAAAAATCTATTAAAAGAGCAACAAATAAATCAACAACACTTTATAAAATTTTTCTTTTGGCTCATTATTAAGACGTATTCAAGGAAGATTTACATTTCAAATATCAATCACTAATAATGCAATACAAAATGTCAATTATAAATTAATAGTTCAATTGGGAATCAACTTTCTACCACTCTGTTTTTTCGAACGGTCTTAATTATAATAAATTTCATCTACATACTAATATTTGGTTATACGTACAATATTCTGATAGTAAAAATATGCTTCCTGAATAATTTTTTTTAGTTTCGTATCATAAAAACATCGAATTATATAAAAAGCAATTCAGAAATAATTATTCCCTCATATAAATAATAACTACTAAAATAATCACTATTAGTAAATCACATTTTCTCACACACAAACAACTTGAGTTAAATACATAAATAGATATTATCTTTCATTCATAAAGGCTTATAATTAAAAATAAAAATATAATTACTAAATATTTCGCTACAGTAACGGTTTTATGAACAAATAATTATAAAGTGACGCATCATGTATTAAAATCATAATGCATCACTTTAACAATTTAAAATAAAAGCAATTAAAAAAAAAGCAAAACAAAGAAGAAAAGCAAAAGAAAAGAAAAGGCATCACAGGTTATAATAAATATCAAAGTTTCTATCTCTAAAATAGCAGTTCCCATTTTTTTAAATTGCGGAACCCGAAATTGTCAGCTTTCTTTCGGCGGAACCCCCACATTAAAATTAAAGTTAAAGTGATTTTGAACGTTATAACCTACAAAGGACTATTTTTGAAATATTCAATTAGCGGAATAAAGATTTTTCATTGTTTCATCATTAATAATTTTAAAATTGATTTTATGTTCAACAATTAAAGTTTGTAAAAAATCCTTGTTCTACATCTAGTAACCAAAAGATTAAATAAATTAACAATTATAGGTTGGATTTAAATGTAATCAGAAGTTTCATAACTTTTTATTAAATGTAATAACTTATGGAGCCTCCCCCATGGACCCCTAGAGTTCCACGGAACACCATTTGGTAACCGTTTCTCTAAAATACTGAAATAAAATACAAAAGTGTTAATTTAAAACTTCTATCTGACATGTCTTCTGAATTGAATAAAGAACAGTTCTGTGTTGAATATTTTAAATTAATAATTTTTCCCCTTAGCTTACAAACTTCATTAAAATATTATTTTTTCGCTATTTACTAACTTAAATAATAGCTGGTTTTAGTTGAAAAGCTGAAATTTGCACCAATAACAAAAGAGAATAAGGTTAGACAAAAAGAAAATTGAGAAAATGTCTTCATTTTCTTCTCTCTAGATTTGAAAGAAAATATTCCTTTTAAAAATCTAGGTCATTTTGTTCTGATGATTTTACCTTCAAGGTTGTCATAATATTTTTTTTTTAATTTATTTAATTCGTTTAGAATGTGGGAAACTTAGAAATATGTTACAAAATATTCAAATGAAGAAACAAACTACGAAAACTAGAATGGTAAATGCATTAATAATTTTTAAAAATTCGAAAACGAAATTAAATGTTTTGGCTCAAACTTTATTTGCAATTAACTTTGACGGAAACAGATTGAAATACATTATAATTAATTTCCGAAGATGAAAATGAATCTTTCATCATTTTGAAACTTTATGTATTTTTCAAAGACAGAAATCTGAAGCAAATTAACATTTTAAAACATATTACCATATTTTGGTGGTAATTTAAATAAAATAATTTAAATATTATTCATATATATGATGTTGCTAATGCATGAAATGCCAACGTTTTACTAAATAACTGACATTTTGTTTAACAAATTATGAAAATACTTTGCCTAGTTATTATATAGAAGGACTAGGTATTTTATTAGTGTTCTATAGAATGCCTATGCAATAAATAAACAAATTTTATTTAAATTAATTTTCAACTAAAAATTAAAATTGCCTTGGCCAGTAAAAGGTTACAAAATCAGTACTAGTGGAAACTTATATTTATTTGAAATTAACATTTCCGAACAGAAGTATAAACGATTCATAAACAAATAACATATACATCAAATTCAAAATTCAATGAACTTGCAAGTTACATTTAAGTTCATGAACTTACAAGTTACATTAAGTTGGAGAAAAAATTAAAATTTTTGAAGTATTAAAAAATGTATAAATAAAGACTATAATAAATTTGCAATTAAAAAATTTAAGCACAAGAGAAAATTTGATACAATAAATAACATTAAAATTAATAAACAAATAAAAAAATATATTATAAAAAATTAAAATCAAAATATTATACTAGAAAATTCAAATTCTGGTCACACTGAAATTGAAGAAAGTATCTTTCACTTTTTTTTTTCAAATCTTTTTTTCGCAATTTTATTTCCAGATATGGAAATAAAAATCAATATTGTCAATTTCTAATAAAAACCTAAATAAAAACAGACTTAAGATGATGATGACCGTTTATTGACTGCAATTTCAATGGCAAATTATTGTATAATTTCGGAGCCAAATAAAGAAAATGTTTTCGGTAAATTTCTTTGAGTTTAGTTGGAAGTTCAAAGATTGTAGTAGGACGTCTTTTTTTCTTTTCCTTTTAATTTACAAAGTAATTTACTTTGGAAAACATACAAAATAATTAGGAAAAATGCATTGTAGTGGATTGGTAGAAAATTCCAGGATTAGGATTTATAATTAAGTGTGATAGTAATTCTAGATTAATTCAAAATATTATAGTTAATAACAAAACAAAACCAAGAATATTAAAGGATAGTGAAAAGAATCATTAGAAATTTTCTTTTTAAGGTAATAAAACTTAAAAAGTACAAAACGGGTTTTATTTAGAATTTTCATTGACATGTGTCCATTCAAAATTGCAAATAATATACAAACCAAAGTATTTAATAGTATTTTCAGATTGTAAAGAGTAACAGGAACAGTTTAAAAATGCATTGCATTGGAGCGAATGAAATTTAGGTTCGAAATTAAAATTTGTATTCGTTAAGCTGTATTACAAGTATTTGGTCTTGTTTAAATTTAAATCAATATTATTTGATGAAAACAATAACCTATTTTAATTAAATATAGTTCAATTTATGACGGAAAGGTATTTTTATCAGAACATAATTATAGCCGGATAGAATCATTTTAACTTGCAAAAATCGTTGATAAAATAAAAATTAAAAAAAATTAATGTCTCAAATGGAGACTTGAGGAACACCCTTCGTGATTGAAATGAAATTACTAAAATCATAGATAATTTTTATACTTTGTTGTCTAATAGATAAGTATGACTTAAATATTAAATATTACCTTTTATTTCAACATGATTTAGATTTTGAATTAAAATTGAATGATTTACTTTATGGAATGCTTTAGAAATAAATAACTGGGAAAAAAATGATTAGAGTTTTATTATTATTATTGATGCTTGTGTAAATGAAATTTGTGAATTTTAAAAGTGCATCGGCAGTGCTTCTATTTTTAATGAAACAAAACTGGTTATCTGCAAAAAATAAATTTGTTGAATACAAAAAAAATCATAAATTCGATTTTACATTAAATTTTCGGATTTATTTAGAGAATAAAGGAAGAATTGGAATCTGTCCATGATTTGATATTAAAATTTGTTAAATATATAAAATTTGTTAAACACAAAAGATCGTAAAGTCGATTTGGCATTAAGTATTCGATTAATTTAGAGAATGAACGCGGAATTAAAATCTGTGGATAATTTGATAAAACATTTTATATAAGTTCATTATTATTATTGATGCTTCTGTAAATGAAATTTGTGAATTTTAAAAGTGCATTGCGATGCTCTATATTTAATAAAACCGAACTGATTATCGGTAAAAAAAAGTTTTTGAATACAAAAAAATCATAAATCACAGGCAGAAAATCACAGGCAGAAATGAAATATATCTAATTTGATAAAGCATTTTTGCTACTGAATTGAGGATGGGTGTTGCAGTAGCACATTTTAATGAAATTGATAGAGATATTGATAGAGAATATTGACAATATTGATAGAGAATTGTTTCAGTATTTGAGTATTGGAATATTTAAGCAGTCTTAATCATAGGAAATTTTATTCTAGAAAGAATTAAAAATATCATAAACTTCACAAATAAAAACCTTTAATAAAACAAAATATTTATTTTACGAAGAAATGTAACATTTAAATTTATTGCTTGCAGTACTTAAATTACTACTATTGTTACAAAATTAGAATTAAGTTTGAAAGCTAGTTCATAATCATTTCATGAGTCGGGAAATTTACTTGATTTAAACGTTTATTTATGATATTATTGATTCGATCCCATTAACGCTTGCTGGAAAAGCATTTTATGAATTGTTCTCTAAAAAATTTATTTTTCCTGTCTTCCGTTTTTATTTTAAGTGAGTTAAAAATCGATTCATAGACTACTTTAAATATTTCGCCGTAAGGATATTTTTTCAATTTTTGCATCAAGTTGAATTACATCAAGTTAAATATAAAAACAATATTTTAGTTACATATTATAACGAAAAAACTTCGAAATGTTATGAAATCGGATGATTAAAAAACCAGACGCATTAACTGGTTCCCAACTGTTGCCAGAATCCAAGCCTTAATTAGCATAATCCATTATTACGATAAACCTGTGAAACATATATTATTTCATACTTTGCTGGCGATCAGCCTGCTTAAGGACCGAGGGTGAGGTCCTCGTTGAGCTGTTCTACCTTAAAGTGCTCGACTTCGTGCTCAGGTTTGGCTACCAAAGCAGGGGAGTCATCTCCTCTGCAGGAGATCAAAATTGCGATGGCATGTCTTCGGGATAACCCTCTGGGATGTCTCCCAGACTGTCGTCAATACCTCATAGTGCAACGCTAGTGCAACGTAAATAAAATACCTACCTGCATCCTACTTTGCTGATCGATTTTCGAAATTTCGTAACATGAACATAAATATTGTACAAATTAATCTAAAAGGAACCTTCCTGGACGAGCCGGTATCACCCACCAAACGCTGTGCGAAGCATAAAGGTAGCTGGTTCGAATCCCGCTGTTACTCTGTATCTTCATGCTTTCCTTCTCTGTCTAGTACTATCTTTCTACTTGACAAATACTATTTATAAATCTTAATTGAGCACGCAAGCCAACCAATGTATGTTGTACAAATAAACCAATAAATATACGGATGAAAGATATTTATTACCTATGTGATTATATTAATTATTATCATTCTAAACTATAACTCAATAAATTTCAGAAATTTAAATTGCATACGACAATACGCAATTTCAACAACTGAAATATTTTTATTCGGGGATTTTGACAGAGGGTTTTATTTTTATTATCTTCACAAAGTTTTTATCCTATACCTAATATTCTATAGTATGCCGGATTCTGTTCGTTGTCGGTAACATATTGTGCTGATATACGACAGCCCTCAGTAAGTGTTGTCCTCTTGAAATGTATTATCTGAAATATTTCTTTTCTTTTTTAAATACTTTTTAATGTTAAAGCTCTGAAGCCCCTTGATTAAAAAAGAACATTTATCTAAAAAAAATACATGAAAGTTATCAAAATAGTTATAAAGCTGGTGCAAAATTCTAAAAGCATTCTTTAGAGTTATTTTTCGGATTATAGCAACAAGAAAGGTAAAATTGCTATTTTTAAATTTTAATAATGACGTTCCTATATTGACATTGTAAATATTCTACTTACGTTTGCGAGCTGCATTTCAAGTTCCAAAGCATCCCTCATATCTGTCTCGGCCTGTTCAAGGGGTGCTCCTAACAACTGGGCAATGTCCACCATGAATCGGTAATAGGCGTCCAACTGCTGCGTACCCTGTACATAGTACTCTCTGCTGGGCAGACCCATGTCTGCTTGATCAATCTGCCAATGTACAAAACAATACTCAAACTGAGATTTCAAATTAAAGTATCTACCATTTAAAATATTTATTAAAAAAACTTTAATGTCTGATCGAGTTAGATTCTTTAATTTTTATATTAAGCAATAGATTTTTAATACAGTTTTTCATAAAATAGATCTTTAACTTGAATTTTACTACTATTTGTTATTAAACTCACTATTCAATTAGTTATAACTGAAAGCTATTCCAGTCACCAACTGTCTCAGTTCTTCCGCGTTTATATGCCAATTAGTCTCAGTCGCCCTAGGGCTCAAGCAACACCTCCTAGAAAGGAGAAGGCCTCAGCACGGTTTACCACAAACAAGAAGTGTGATCCTTTAGTAGTCCAAACGTAATGACATCTTTCGTATTAACCACCACTGCGCAGCTTAGTAGTCCAAACGTAGTGACATCTTTCCTATTTATCATCCGCTGCGCAGTTTATGTTCGTTACGTTGGACCACTAAATTGATCCGTGCTGAGGCCTTCTTTCTTCTAGGAGGTGCTGACTCAACTCAGATGACAGAGTGGACAGGGATCCTAAATCACCTCATATCAAGTCAAATCAAGCAAATGCCATTAATCCGGTAGCACAAGTGGTAACACCAGTAGTGCTGGGATGGAGATCGTGAGTTCTGCTCTGGCAGTTGATTTAGCAACTAACGTTTATACGCAATACGCAGCAAGGTGAACATTAAATCTTTTGTGCCTTGTTGGTTGTACAGTGGAAGGTAGGAGAAGGACGTACCAGTTCTGTTCATCTTTTCTTATCGAGATCAAAAATACGTGGCAGTCTTACCTTGGGTATTAAAAGAAAGAGTACAGAGAGCTCGGCCACATTCAAACGATATGAAAACAAATGTATCGTTTATTTAGAAGTAGGCTTCCATCAACCTCTCCAACTAAGTTTTAATAAAGAGAAAAGAAGGCGAAAAGTTACCTCACAGTTTCATAATTGCGGGCCAATATATTGATAGGCTAAAATTTCAACAGCTGAATACTAAGAATCATCTCGTTTTTCAAATACAAATCTTTTTGTTTTTTAATTTAAAAAACACTCGCTCGAACAATTTGGAAATGTGGTTTTTTCTTAGATTCCCCTAACCCATTCAATTTTAACCCTTAATATGAAGAATCCCTTTTCTGTGAACTTAAAGTTAAAATGTTCGACCGAAATTGCTTATGAATTTACTCAAATAAAAACCCAGATGTTTAATTAGCCCAAAATTTTAATTGATACTATTCATATACTTTATTTGAAGCTTTCCTTTAGTATTTTCAAAAAGAATGAGTTTCATATGCCTGTATATGTATAAAAGGCTTTACAAATTTTTTGCGAATAAATCTTACCTGTATAATATTTATTGACGAGTTCTTGCCGTCCGGTCCGACCCACTGGGCAAGAAGTATGTCATTATTGTATTGCCTTAATTTGGCTATTTCATAAACCCAGTCGAAATTCTCCTCTGACCAATTTGAGCTAATGACTGGCCATCCACCTAATTCTTCTAAGAGCACGATCAAAGGTTCTTCTTTCAGACTCTCTATTGCTCCTAATAATAAAGGAAAAAATATATGACAATGCCATTATTTTTACTGTTCTGCTACCACGAGAACTTCTTCAGACTGAACTTCTATGAAAACTGAAGTAAAACCATTTGAAGTAGGGATAGTTGAAGAAATAACAACACTCCGCCAACTTAAATCAAATCCAAATCGCTAACCCCTATCTTTTCGGAGTGATTTATCTCTGTAACCATAGTAACCGTCAGCGCACGCGTCTGATGTTTGGAGGAATTCTCGTGACAGCAGAACAATGCAGAATATTTTCTTTAGCATTGTAGAACTGGGAAATCAATAATTTAAGCATGATAAATGTTTATTAACCATGCACAAAACTAACACCAAAAGGAGCATAAATTGAATGAAAACCGTGCTCCTATTCTAGTATCCTCCAAATATTGAAGCTCCAGATTCCAGGCGTGGTTTTATTACTATATTTTATATTTCAGTCCAGCTTTTTACACTGAAAAATTTGTGGCATACTAACTTCATGAATCAAAGTCATAAGGCTGGAAATACCCGTATTATCTTTTTCACAAATGCAACAGGAAAAATATGGTTTAATGTAATCACTATAAGCACTCAGCGAGCGGATATATGTTTCTTGAACCTTCTGTAAAGTGTAAATTTGTTGCAAACTTATTAAGGTTGTTAAATTAAATCATGTATACAGTTAAATTAAATCATCTATACATTCAAGTTAAACCACAGTGACGAGTTTAAGAATTACGATACTATAATTCACCTCTGCACCACATTAAGGTTGTAGTAAATTTGAACGATTTTTCAGTTCAAAATGCAAGTTTAAAATTCAGTTCATGGAAAAGTTCAAAATTCAGTTCAAAATGCAAGGAAACACTGCCCGCCGTTTACAGCAAATGTTAAATTTTTCACATATTTATTAATAATTCTGAGTAGTACATTGCCGTTCTCAGCAAGAAGGTAGTAGAAGATAATGGAGACACTAATTTTTTTTAAAGCAACACAGTAATTTAGTGTGCAGCGAAACAGTGAGAGAAATCTTACTTTCATTCATACAGGATGCATAAAGATGTTTCGCACTTATTGTAGCATTGTTGTCTTCTTCACTAATAGGATCTTCTAATAATTCTGCAAAAAAAAGAAGAAAAATATTACTTTCCTTAAAGTCGATCATTAAATTACCGATTTACATAGCGAAATAAAATTCCTTATTTTAAATTTCATATAATTATAAAATTACATGTAAATAAAAAAAAAATTGTGGGAACTGCTGAATCAAACGTTGAAGCAGAAAATGGAACTGACCCGAATTCGCTTTTTCTTGCTGAGGAAAACTTTTAAAACCTCACATGGTTATCTCACATCACATCCATGCTCCGTTAGTTACTGAGCATATTTAATGTTATCACTGTACGGTCAGTTCAAAGTGTAAAAAGTGTAAAGAACAACTAGCCATCATGGGGAACCGAATTTATGTCGAATGCAGCCAAAGCTCATAAATTACTTATTATAAATGATTATTATTGGAATAAATCTATTATACAAGTAATTATGTGAGTAACAGAATCTTAATAGAAAAAAAACATATAATTAAATATATATATTTCAAGATACAAAACGAAAGGCCACATTAAATGTCACTGTTTAAGAGGTCCAGGATAATACCAGCACTAATTAATAACATATTTTATTGGCAAAACAACATTAACAAAGGTCTACAATTAACAAGCAGACAAACAAAACATCTTACATCCAGATACTTAAAGCCAACTAATATAGAAGTGTTTGGGGGGAGGTTATCCAATGGAAGCGCGCATGCGCTAACGTCAAAGTTTTAGTTCGGATTTTAACTTACCACATTAAGAAAATAATATATCAGCGAAAACTTGTGTTCAAATAAATAAAAGGATAATGTCAAAAGTTTCAATATAGATATATATGCCCCCATCTATGGCCAAGAATACGACTTCAGCCACGTACCACAGCCCATTCATAGGACTGACCCAGTCATACATCCTTGCATTCATCCATAGATCGTAATTTTTACCTCAACCAGAGAACGACCAATCTCCAATTCAGTACCTCCAGGGGTATTGATTTTTATGTGGAGAGTGGTAGACATTGTGATCTGACAGATTAAACGTGCAGTAGTCAACATTTACTACACGGGGAGCCTTCGGACTGCCGGGATCCAACTCACGACCTCCTGGACACGGGCCCATACTAACCAGGCTTATTCGTCTTCCAAGTAAGAAAATGAATGATTGTCTTACCACGAAGCTTGGATTTGAGTTCATCTTTCATTAGTGAGAATGTGTCGTAGTAGGATCTGTCACTTGGCAGTTCATGATGCTGTGACCATCTACCGCATGCATACTGATAGAAGTCATCACACGGAGAAACATTCGAATCCATATTCCTCAGCAACTCTGCAGCTGGAACAGAATAATGTGGAATCATAATCTAATAATTTCCATGCTCTTAAGTATTCTCTTACGTCTAGCTTCATTCACACAATGCTCTAAAGTCACACTATTTCAATGATAATTATTAAAAATGTCGTGGAATTGAATTCGAACATTTTCTGAAAAAATTAGTTAAAAAAATATTGCTATCTTAAAAAAAACGAGAAATTGGTAAAAATTTTAAACGCAAGGCAAAACAACAAAAGGAAAAAATAAATAAAAAGAAGAAAGAAACGATTAAAATCTAAGTGTACAAATGATAGAAAGTAATTTCGCATTTATATATTTGCTATTATATATTTTCTTTTATATATTTGCTATTATGTATAAAAAATATATTTACTGAATACATTATAATTATTCAGCATCATTAAAAATAAATTATAGTTATATAATATACAGAAACATGTAATTGCATAATGATTTATTAATAAAATAATGCTATTTTGAGTTATTAATAAAATAATATTATGTATTTGCTTTTATATATTTGCTATTATATATTTTCTTTTATATACTTGTTATTATATATAAATAATATATTTACTGAATACATTATAATTATTCAGCATCATTAAAAATAAATTATAGTTATACAATATACAGAAACGTGCAATTGCATAATGATTTATTGATAAAATAATGTTATATGCTCCATCCGGGGCCCCAAACTTGCTCGGTGCTCTCGCCCCCTTGACACTACTTTTTTCGCTCATTTGATGCATTTTTTTTTCTAGTTTTGTAATTTATAGGAACTCTTTCTAAAGTGAGGTTTTTAAAAATTACGTTAACATGCTGAGAAACTTTGTATAAACATTTCATTCGATCTTTATCTATTACAATTTGATTTATATATGGTCCCGTGAATGACCGAAATCAAGAGAACGTCGACTTTCAACGGTGAATGTCAGCAATCAAATAGTCGATGTGGTAAATGTCCGCTGCATTTATTATTATTTGTTATTGCAGCTGCATTTATTATAAAAGTAATTGTAATCACACATTACCACTTGCATTGCTGAGTTTAGTTGCCATTGATAACATAACTTTTGTCTAAGTTCTTCGTTTGAAATGTGAACAAAAAGGGATTTAATTGCGTTCTCTAAAAGTTAAGTGGCTTAGAAAATCAATTCAAAGTCATTTCCTCCATAAAATGCGTTAACAAGTTTGAAATGTTCCGAAATATTTTGGGAAAGTTGATCTCAACGAAAAGTTCGTTAAATAGAAAATTCACTTCGCTATTTGGAAATTATTTTACGAAGAAATTTCCAAAATGTTCTTGGTTCATTGAAAAAAATGACAAAATAGAGAAAATCTCTAAATGGAAGTTCGTTAAATAGAAGTCCGACAGTATATCGAATAATTTGCTATGACTTGTTTGCATTCACATTTTCTTTTCTGTCCAACTTATAACTCAAGTAAGTTCAACTTTTTTGTGGCCATCAAGGGAAACGAAATGTCATCGGTTTTAAGAATTTCATGTAGGTAACATGAATGATACATGACGTGCTGAAAACGTTTATGTATAATACACAGATTATGTGAAAATCTTAAGGACTCTGAAAAAACAGATCAAAATGTTAAAATTTCACTCACCAGCCTGAACACAAGTTTCTGTGAGACAAACATGGGAACAGGAAGTATTTTGGCAACTTTCACTATCATTAACACATTCGAATACTAAAAAGAATGGGAAAAAAACACACATAAATTTTATTATATTGAAGTGGCTTTTAAAATATTAAAACAAATGTGAATATTTTCACTTTAATAGAGTCTGTTTAACACTTCGAACTGTTTTTATCAAAATAAGGCTAGTAAAAAAATAATCTTTGATAAAAGTTCCAGAAGAACTATTTATAAAAAATAAAATTTCAAAAATATGCGAAATGGGGTAATAATTAAAATATATATATATAGGTGACATTGCGCATCGAAGTTAAAAAGAAAATTTTTAACAACTTCCATTACCAATTATTTTAAAAAAATGCAAAAAATCAACATATTTTTTTTATTTTATTAAAAAATACAAGGAGCTAAAACAAAACATAATGTACAAGTTTTTAGTTGAAATTTGAATTTCTTTTATGTGTAAGAAACATTTAATTTAAAATTAGCTTATTATCCCGAGTTATTTCGGGGAAATGAAAAAAGTTAAATATTAGTCTTTGTATGATATTTCTTAAAACAAGGGACCACACAAAGTGATACTTTTCAAACATCAGTGAAGGAATTCGCCATTTTGTTTAAAACTCTTATTGCTATGTAAATTCAGAAACCATCGTATATACAATTGCACAAAACGCGTGTGTATAGTTCGTTCACCAGGAGTTGGCACTTGGCTCCGCCTTCATCACGTGGTATGCGACGATACTATTTCGCTATTTTTGGGAGATGGTTGTGAGCAATCCTGAACAAGGCTGCTATTTGGCGATCGTATGGCAGAAATATTTATTTCGCAAACTTTATCTGCATTTTTTTAACATTAAATATTTAATATATTTGATGATATTTCGCTCCATTTCTTATGATATTTCTCTCTTTTGAGTGAATAGTTTGTCCTTTTTGAGACATTTTGCTGGGAAAACAGCTGTATTTAAATTTAAAATATATTTAACCAGCTAGAGAAAGAAAAGGTATAATAGCAGATGATAAAGCGAAGTAGGTGACTGAAAAAGAACAATGTTTGTGTTTGGCACGCATTAAGGGTTGTCTCAATTTCAAGAGCGGAGGTGTTTCTCTTCTTACTCCCGCGCTGAAATGAACTCTGCGTCCGAGGAGGTGGAGCCAAGTGCCAACTCCTGGTGAACGAACTATAGTCCCACAGTCCAACATCAAAACTCACAAACATTGGCAAACTTCCAATCACAGCAGATTATGTTATTTGCTTCCGACCGAGTAAAAACGTCATAAAACAAAATGTAGATTTATCATCCCGAGTTTTCTCGGGATGATAAATATTTGCAATATATACGTACCCGAGTTAACTCGGGATAATCAGGGAAGCGGTTAATATAGGCTGTTTAAAACTTCAAACTGTTTTTTTTTATCAAAATATCGCTATTAAAATAATAATCTTTGACAAAAGTTATAGTAGAACATTTTATAAAAAAATAAATTTTAAAAAATATGGGAAACAGGAAAAAAAGCGGGGGAATAATTTAAAAAAAAAATAGTGCGTGGAGTCCCTCCGCTCGGAAGAAGTTAAACTTCGCAACCTGCGACGTTAATTGTAGAAGAATCAGCAGTCGTAGAAGGATCACTAGTTTTATTCAACGACTCTTTTCTCCTGCTCCACTCGCTTCCGTGCTCTGTAATCACGGTAATATTGTGCATTTTCCCTCGTGGACCTCTTGAACCAGTGGAAGTGATTGTGGTTGCCTCATCGTCTCGCCCGGGAAAATGTATTTGTATTAATAATGTTTGTGAATGCGTCATAATGTAATTGGGTATACTATAGCCTACGTCACAGGTTGTGTTATTCCTACTAAATTTAACCCATGAACGGCATTTTCTGCGAGCCTAACTTCAAGCCACAAATAAACAAACGAAGTGTTTGATC